AGGGGGAGATTGAATCACTTGTTGGATTTGATGAAGACATATTGAGTTGATATAGTTTAGTTTGTGGGTGTGTAGTTGAATAGGTTAGAAGTTTAGAACTTAATCTCTTGATAGGCAAATAAATCTTGTGATAAGCGCCTTGAAATGATGCATCTCATTGAAATCATTTTTCTGCATGAAAAACTAACATATAAGCATTAAAAGAACAAACTAAGTTTTTCAATCTGTTGAAAAGGAATTTCAATCTGTTTAAATCACTTAACATAAGAAGTGTACATATAGAGTCGAAATTTCAATTGGTTGAATCGCAGAATCAACAGGTTAAAATGTTCTTAATGAATTTTTCAAATATCAAAGGTTTTGCATTTTCAATCTGTTAAAATGTTTTTTAATCTGTTGAAACAGAAAGACTATTTTTCAGTCTAAGTGTTTTTAGAATTTCAATCTGTTGAAATACTTTTCAATCTGTTGAAACAGAGAGACTATTTTTCTGTCTAAGAACCTATAGGATTTCAATCTGTTGAAATGTTTTTTAATCGATTGAAACAGAGAGCTATCATTTTTCATTAAGCTATTTCAATCCATTGAAAACACAAATCAATCGATTGAATGAAGTTTTAAATAAAATCAATTGATTGAAACGTCGTTTTAATCGATTGAAATACATTCTGATCGATCATAATTTGATTCTAATCGATCATAATTAGTTCTGATCGATCATAGTGTTGTTTTAATCGATCATAATTGATTCTAATCGATTATATGTTCATTATGATCAATTACTTTCTACTCTGAATCAGTTTTTAACAGATTAAACGTTCTGGTACTCTCTTTTACTCTATAAATACAGATTTGATCTATCTTCTGAAATATACAATTTGTGAAAACATTTGAAAGCAATATTTGAGCTATCATATCCGTGACTTTCTCTGTGCATTCAAGAACTGTTCATATCATAAGGTGCTTTGATCAAGTTTGTTGTTAATCAAAGAGAGAAAGTTCTGAGTTAGAATTGCTTCTGGACATTTGTACTGATAAAGTTGCAGTCCAGGTTTTTTCTTTTCATACTCTTGTGTAAAGTGTGATTGTGCAGATTGGATTTTGAATCTGCACTGGTTACAGTAACTGGATTTGGTTACTGGGAGGTTTTCAAGAATCTATCTTGTGGGTTTGTAAGATAGTTCTTGGAGTAGATTGGTGAATATATACTAGTTGTATTTTTCACTTGGAATTAGTGGAACTTGGCAGATTTGTCAAGAACTGGATGTAGCTCTGGTAAAGAGTGAACCAGTATAAACTTTTGTGTTGAATTTCTTCTTTCATCTCCTTTATTTCTTGTCTATATACTTGTTGTGATTAAAATCAAACCTACCTACACAAGAATTGAATAAAGATAAATCATTCTTCCAAGAGAAAGTAAGTTTTGCAAAAAAGTTTTCTTAAGTTCAATTCACCCCCCCTCTTGAACTCAACCATTAATTCTTTCATATAACCATGTTTTTCACACTTAAAACAAACTGATCCTTTAAGATAACAATCTTTCACATATTTATAGGTTTATTAGATTTTTTTACAGAAAATTGGTTAGGTTGAGATTTCCATTAGGGGCAGTTGTAGGATTTTCCGTCATTTTCTTTTATTTTGCTAGGGTTCAAAATATTTTGCTTTATTATTTTGACGATTTTGAAAATTTTCTAACAATTTACACTTGTGAATAAGCATAGGAAAATAGAAATATCTAATATTCCTAATACTTTTCTCAATTCAGGCCTAAGTCCATTCTCAAACTTTATAAACTTCACTCTTTCATCTGGGTGATAAAAGAACACAAAGTATTTTCCTAATTTTTCAAACTTAGAAACATATTCTCATATTGTCATACTCCCTTTCTTCAATTGTATAAACTTTATTTCTTTTGCTCTCCTCACATCATTGGGAAAATATTTTTCTAAAAATTTTTACCTAAGCACCTCCCAAGTAATGATTGTTCTTCCTATTTCTAATAATCTCCTAGTACTATCTCACCAATATACAACCTCTCCTATTAATATAAACAAGGCATAATTCACCTTCTAGTTATTAGGACAATTTATAACTCAAAATATTTTTTATAATTCTTTAATCCATAAATCAGTCTTTTCTAGGTTATAACCTCCAAAGAATTGTAAATGTTTGTTTCTCCTAAATTCAACTAAACCTTGTGATTCATTGGTTCCTTTAGGCCTTTGGTTTCTCAATAATGCAACGGTCACTTCTTTGGTTAGGGGTTCATAACTCTCATGATAGACCCATTTTACACGTCAGACATGAAATGTTGATCTTATATCATTTAATATGATGCCCATTTTTATCAATTTATTAATTTAACTATATTTTAAGATATGATTATTTTCTATTAAATCTTAACAAAAGTAAGATATAAGAAAAATATTTATACATACATATATATATATATATATATATATATATATATATATATATTTACAAGTTTACATTTCTTCCATATTAGAAATAATTATTAAAATTGAAGCATTTTTTCTCTAAAAGAAGGTTGTTGATTTATCAATAATATTTGTCTTTTAATTTGAGGTCTCCATCTATTTAAGTTGATATATAGTTGTAATATGTATAATAGATAAAATAAGTATGTGAGAACAAATATAATGTAAAATAATATTATCTCAACACAATATACAAAAATAACTTTTCAACTTTATCAACATTCCATTTATTTTATATTACGAAGATTTAAATTAAATTTGTAGTGACTAATCGGAATAAATGAATAAAAAATTAATCAATTTTTAAGTGATATTTACTCATTTCAATTCCTAAGTTCTAACTTTCATCTATAATATCATTAAATCTTCATAAATATTATTCTTTAAGAAAATTTAATAATAATTAAATAATATAATTTATTAAAGAAGGGTTGATAAGTAACTAGAGATAAATAAATAAATATAAAAGAGGACGAGTACATATTTGAAGATATATAAATAAACATAAAAGAGATTAGTGCATAAATAGACATAAATAAATAAATACAAAGGATGATCAATGTGTAACTGAAGATAAATAAATATAAAATAGAATTAATGACTAGAAATAAATAAATGTAACAAAAGATATTGTGTAATTGAAGATAGATAAATAAATATAAAAAAGAATATGTAACTAAAGATAAATAAATATTAAATAGGATAAATATATAACTAAAAATAAATAAATATATAAGAATAAATATAATGAAATTAGGATACATCACTCAATAATCATAATTAAAAATAAAATAATAAATATAAGAGTCTTAATACTAATATTATTTTCAACCACTTATCCTTAAAAAAAAAAAAAAAATACTTGTTTAATCAACCACTCCACTCATAAATTTTCAATTAGATCAAGAGTAACACAATAATACCGTAATAGGATATTTATTGTTTGAACTAATAGATTGATTTAGTTACAAGATTACTCTCATGGGGCAATTTTTATCTTCAAATTTTATATAAATGAATAATTACAATGTACCCACTGGAATATATGACGTCAAAGTTCCATTCACGTGTTACCAATTTCAATATACTAAAAGTTGTATTGTCTTTCTAAATTTTTTTAAACTACTTAAAAAAAAAATTATGTTTGTCATTTCACTTACTTTTTAAGCATTTAAGCATTATTTTTCTTCACATTGTCATTGTAAGCATACAGTAGGATATGAATTTAGTCATATATAAAAATTACCTGAAGAACTCCATCTCATATTAATGTCATAAAATTTTTGTACTTGAAACACTCTTGCTATCAACTTTTCTATGGTGACAAGGTTTAGTACTCCTACAACTTTAGGCTGTGACAAGTATCATGTACAAAATTCAATAGGTTTGTTTGTAATATTCCTTTCAACAATAAATGTTTTAGGATCATATCAATTTTTACACACCCTTTTAGTATTTTAATGTATTGCTCATATGGTATATCCACCATAAAAATACTAAACCATAAAATATAATTTCATTGACTAATAAAGTGGACTATGACATAAAAATGAAGAAAATATATCTTCAATCAAATATAAAATAATTACCACTTCATTCTCTAATCAATAAAAAAAAATTCAGGATAATAACTTTATTATATATTACATTAAAAAAAGAAACATAATCTAATTAAAATATATAAAATAATAGAATGTGGATTATGAAACATACTTAGATTTTTTTTTAGTCGAACCAATACAAAATCATTAAATTTTTGGATGCAACGAGCTTTAATGAAAAAAAAATTAAACATTTTAATCAAACAAACTTTTATAAAAAATATTATATTTTTAATATTTTCTTTTGTCACGTATAAATCACTCTAACTTTGTTAAATAAATATTATTTTATAACATTTTTATCTAATTTTATAATATTTTTATCTAATGAAACTTCCACTCTCTTCTCATTTTTTTACATCCCTCACAACAATCATATATCAATATTTTTTATTATTATAATTATTTTTCTTTTCTTAAAAAATATTATTAATGACTTATTATATTATTAAAATATTATTTTATTAAATTAATTAAATTCTTGATCTTTAATTTAACCATTAAACCAATTTAATAATCTATTCAATTTTAAAAATATTGATTGAAACTTCCATCTATGTTAACTTTTTTTAATTGTCCTTACTAACAAAAACCTAAAAGTAATATAATTAAATTTCAAAGGATAGAAAAAAATACAATATATTTAACTCATTTGATATTATGATATAGACTGCAGCTACTTGATACATTAAACATCCATTTTATAGAACATGAGAAAATCATCACTGACAAGCATTGCTACACAGGAATGCCCTCCAACAACACTCAAATATGATGGGGTTGGGACTGTTACACAGATTATTGTCTTCCCAGCTACGCATATCCATGTCTTTCGGATATCCCAGCAAACAACAAATGCAAGATCAGAATCTTAACTCTCCATCATGATGATGACTTCTCACAATACCGAACAAGCACATATATGTTTTCTGGGCACCTCATCAACCTTTTTCTCTGTTCACGCACGCCAAGGAAAGAAAATTTTCAACATTTTCGGTCATAATAATTGGTTCTAGTTAGCTTTAGAATATGTCTATGAAATCTTACAAAAAACAGTTACACAATATGCTCCAGAATGGAATATACCTGTTTTTGCTTTGAGCAAGGATGGCTGGACCACAACATGCATGGTGATGATAACCCCTTTGGGGAGAAGCTCGCCAAGAGGCACTCTACACTGGCCAACTGTTTTGTTGTTCTCCAAAACTCTGCCACCACTTATCAGTTTTATATCATTTGCTGCCTTTGGTATAATTTTCTTGTCTAAGGACAACCATACAAATTTTTATATGTTAGAAACACTATAAAACAAACAAGGGTGAAGAATATAACATCAAAACAGTAACCGAAAAAATGAATATAACACATGTCCAGAATAAGACAAGTACATAAAAAATCATCCATAAGTAATAACCTACCCAATAACAACACTCAAAACCGTCTTGTATCAAATATATAACTGGTTGCTAAAGGATAAATCAGAGTATAACACTATGAACGTCCTGATTATAAAAGGTTAACAGGAGAATAAAATAAACAAAAGAAAAATGTTTAAGGCATCCAAATAAAATTTAAGCTAGGAGTTATCTGGTTAGAGGCTCTCATCCAAGTTCCAACTACATTTTCATACTGACATTACACCCCCACGCACCCATGCAACCCATAACGGCTTAATGTTATCATTCAGTACTAAACAGCAAGTTTATAGCAAAATGCTGCTTAAAACATAAAGACAACTAAACAACCATGAATGAAAACTTGACTCGTCTAGCTCAAACCAATCACCCCTTCGTTTTAGCACTCTTCATCAAAATGTACAAGTGTTCACACCATACCCATACCAAACTATCCATCTTAATTCCAATGAGCTCAAAACTTAACCGCATTGATATCTTGCCAATGTCTCTAGTAATCTATGAAAGATGAGAGAGGAAATGGGGATAATCTCGTAAGGTCTTACGTGTGCTCCGGTCCTTTTTCCTTAGTTTTTACCCTTTTTCTCCCCTCCCTCCCCCTAACACATCAATTGCTCTCTGTACCTTGTCTATAATATAATAAATCAGTCTAGATTTGGATACATATAAACTAATTATGCATTTTTTTCCAGCCCTTCATTCTTTTACTTTTCTTCTTTTGTTTTTCCAAAGGTTTATCCCCTCCAACTTATAAAAACATTAATAAATTTAATTTATTAAGAATAGTGTAACAATAATAGATACAAATAAAATATTAAACTTACATTTTTAAAATTAAATTATTAAAATATCAATTATTTTAGGTGATTAGCACATTATATATAATATTAATAAAAAATTTCAATATTGATTATGAATGACAAAATATTTAACTTATTGAATATTGTTGTATTGAATTTTGCTGTTTAATAATTTTGTTAGATTAAAAATGTAAGAATTTATTACAACCAATCATTTAAAAACAAGTAAAATAATAAATAAAGTATTTTTGAGACCATGATCAGGAAGATATAGAGAAATATGCAATAAAATATCTCAAAAAAATATAAAATAATTTAGATAAACATCAAAATATAAGAATGAAACAAAGTATTAAAAAATAGCATAAAACATGTGTCAACAAGATTCGTAGATAGATTCAATTTAAAAGAGCTCCGCATAAGACTCTCAAAAGCTCCTCCTACAAGCTTTTTTAAAAGCTCCTTTATTATATGTTCTAAAAGAAAGCAACTTACTTTTTCAAGAGCTTTTATCAAAAGAGTGAATGCTCTAGCTTCAACTTTTAACGAGGAAAAAAGTAAAAATAAATTGGGTCAAATGCTACCTAAGTATAATTGTGTAAGAAAGATAATAGGGAATGCAACAAGTTTAATAAAAACATTTGAATTAGCCAATTCGAGGTAATTTGAGGATCTTGTTATGTCACAGGTCAGCTTTCATGTATCCAGGATCAATCAAACAAATTGAACGGAGAGATTGTTTGAGATGTCACACATAGGATTCAAGCAAAACAGATGAAATGGAAATCTCCAAGTACAATATATAATTGCAAAGGGCATGTCAAACCCAGAAAACTTTTTGCAAACAGCTCTGTTGGGTGATGAAATACTGCAGGTGCTAACAAGAAAACAAGTGCAGAGGAGATAAGAATTTTGAGGTGTATTAGTGGACATACAAGAAAAGATAAGATTAAGGAACATGTATCTAAGAGAAATTTAGTGTAGAACCTACAGATAGAACATGTAAGTGAATGGATATAAATGTAATTACATTTAAACTGGAAGCAGCATATTGTACATAAATGCATTGAGAGAATGAAGGGTGGCTGGCAAATGCAAGTATTGCCATGATTTGGTGAAAAAAAATTGGTACGAAAGGGATATGTGCCAACCGTGAATAGAGGCCAGAGTCCTCCCCCTATCAGGCTGCTACGTCATGGATTTGGCAGCTGGTATTGACAACTCTGGTTTTGATACAAGATTGTAATTAATGTTGAGATAAAAAAATTTCACAGGCACTCATTGCAACAGTTAATACATTATATAATAAACTACAAAATGTTATGATCAAGGGAGAGAATGGCGATAAAAGACAGTCACAGTGGACAGTGATCACCATTATCATTAACCAACCTTAATCCAATCACTTGATCACAAACAAATGTAGCCAAGACACATTTTCTCTCTGTGTTAACAAACTGCAGTATTCCAACCAACATTCTATCATCTCAACACGTGGAAGAGGTTTATGATGATAAATGTAAACAAACAGGTGTTCATCAATTTCTTTTGTTCACTGTCTGCATATCCAATCCCAAAATTCAAATCCACATGCCTACGCATGAGGGTTGCAGAAACTCAACACTTGAGACATTTAAAAAAAAAAAAAAAAAGAAAAAAAAAAAAAGCATATCAAGTTGTTTCCAGCCCAACAATTAGTAATGGTCCCTAGGTTTTAAAAAACCATCTACAACTACAATTTCCAGCACAAAATGAAGGTTTCACGCTGTCCACAACTGCAATTACAGCTGCACAGTTTCCTGCACGGTCAAGGACACAAGAAAACAACAACCGTAATTAAAACCTTGACCAGTCCTTCCTATGACCCAAAATTCAAAAACCAAAACTGGAAGAGCTTTCTTCATCTTTCATCACAGTATCACATTACCTATTTTTTAAAACCAGGAATCTACTTCACCCAAATCTTCCCCCATCCAAAGCAAAAAGCATTTATTTTCAAAGCAAGTCCTTCCAACTCTAACGCCTCAAGAACAGATAACTCCAAAACTAACGACCCAAAAAACACACTTCTCTCAAAACAGAATCAAGCAACACAACACCTTCACAAACACGCTTTTTTTCAAAAGAAAAACTAAAAAAATAACGAAAGCCCTGTTTGCACACACGCACAAAAAAAAGCGCAAGGGAAGGTCGGGGCAAAAGCACAAAGCCACTGACTCCACGGAGTTCAATAACTCGGAGGCAAGGCCCTAGTAGTAGGTTAATTAAAGGCAGCACCGTCATCAGAATTGAACTAAACCACAAACCAAAAGTCACGATGAAAATGAAAAAAAAGTTAACCTTTGGGCCACTCTGCAAAAATCCGGTCCTTGAGCATGGATACAGTGGAAGCAGGGGAGTAACGGAACGGTCCGATATCGGTACCATCGTAGAGACGGAACTTGAGCTCAATCACTTCCTCCTCCGGCATCTCACTCCCACTTCCGATCGCTGATAATAATAATAATAATAATAATACGCTTCTTTCGAAACAGAATAAGAATAAGCTTCAAATAGATTCTTGGGGATTCGGACAAGAAGAAGCAAAAGAAAAATTCCCAACGCCACTACAAACCCTATCCCCCGATTTTCACGCTCTCTCTCTTTCTTTCTTTTGCCAAATGTATTCATACGTATATATGTATGGCTATTAACATTTTCTTTTTCTCTCTCCGTCAAAGGGAGTAACAACACACTAATCTCCTTTTAAGGAACCACACTAACCTTCTTCGATTATTTATTTATTCATTCATTACTTCTCTGCACATTTTCATAAGATTTAAAAATATATATCAATTACTACTCTATATAAAGAGATTAATTAATGTCCTTTAATAATTAATTCACGAAATATACTAATTTTAAGTGTTTGTGAGTTTTTCAACCCATTGGTTTAAAATAAATTTATTAATTTTTCTAATAACTACATTTAAAAATATATTAATAATTATTTCTAACTAGTTAATATATCTTAAACTGTAATGTTTCCTCCCTTTATTTTCATTACATTAAGAAATTAATTAAATATGAATATATCAACTTTAAGAAAAAATAATATTATCCAAAAATTATACCTATTCATGTCATTAAAATAAAAAATAATATTTTTGTATATTATGGGTGAATTACATAATAAGAAAATTACAAAATATTATATATATATATATATATATATATATATGATTATGTCGTAATATATGAAAAATACATGGTTTTGCAGTTTTCTTGACAGTTAAATTATTTATTATACTAAAATGTTAAAATTTTTAAATATTCTTATTTAATCATTAAAAATATTAATAAAATAATAATTTTATCCAAAAATTATACCTATTCATGTCATTAAAATAACAAATAATATTTTTGTATATTGTGGGTGAATTACATAATAAGAAAATTACAATATATATATATATATATATATATATATATATATATATATATATATATATATATATATATATATATGTGTGTGTGTGTGTGTGATTATGTCGTAATATATGAAAAATACATGGTTTTGCAGTTTTCTTGACAGTTAAATTATTTATTATACTAAAATGTTAAAATATTTAAATATTTTTATTTAATCATTAAAAATATTAATAAAATGTATCAAATAAATACTAATTAATATTCATCATTTTACATAGATAAACTAAATGGAAATTTTGGTATTATATTAATAATAAATATAAAAAATGATGGATGGTTCTTACATGGTTGTATCAATTATGATTTTTAATCAATTTAAAACATAATTTTTTTAAATGATCGGGTGTAGAAATTAAATTTTAATAGTAATAATTTGTTTGATAAGATATTTCTCAAATCAGTTCTTATATCTTTAACTCGTTGTTATTTTGAAAATAGAATATTTTAATTTAAAACAAAAAAAATTCAATATTCTTTTAAATTTAAATTTATTTTATTTAAAAGTATCCGGGCTAGTTTTTACTAAACTCATAAATAAAAACTTAATTAAAATAAAAAATGTAAAACAAAAGCCCCTTTTTAGTTATAAACATGTCCCCAACCGTTTGAGGTCAAATTCAACTATCCGTTCAATTCAATCATGCTCATGATATTAAGACGAATTGATATGCGGTTTTTGTGATGCAGCCAATTGAGACGCAATCTTGGTCTTGGATTTGTAAGATTTTTACCATTGAATTTATTTTCTTCCTTTTTAAAGGAGGAAAATAAAGAAGAAGTGAGATTTGGATTTCGAATCTAGTCGTTGTCCGTAACAGAATGAATGGTAGGAATTGGCAATTACGACCTACCAAAAGATCTTTTGTTTGTGTCCAAACATCACCGACTCAGATGTAAACCAATCTGTGGCAGAGTTTGGAATCTTGATGGGTGTGAATGTGCGAGTTGTCTTAGAATGATTAGTTGTGTAAAAAAATAATGGAGGGAGGGTTCCAAGTAAGTAATGTATAGAATGAATGGAAATAAATATTTGAGTAAGTATATGTGAATAATTTGAAAGGATTCACTAATGCAGAAAAGGCTTTTTACATCGGTTAAAATGGGCTTTCGACGTCGGTTAAAGTAGCGACATAGATATGGGGTCATAGAAAGTAAGACTTTCTACGTCGGTTCCTAATAACCGACGTAGAAAGTAAGACTTTCTACGTCGGTTAATAGGAACCGACGTAGAAAGCCCTACTTTCTTTGAGCTATTATGATCGATCAACCTGGTTATGATCGGTCATAGAGCTATTCTGATCGATCATAACCTGGTTACGATCGGTCACAGAAAGACTTTCTACGTCGGTTAGTCGAGGAACCGACGTAGAAAGTCTTATTTTGTATGAGCTATTCTGATCGGTCATAACTCGGTTCCGATCGGTCATGAAGCTAATCTGATCGATCATAACCGATTCTCGACTGTCGTAATACTTTCTATGTCGGTTAACACTTATAACCGACATAGAAAGTCTTACTTTCTATGTCGGTTAAAATTATAACCGACATAGAAAGTACTTTCTACGTCGGGTAATGACATAACCGACGTAGAAAGTGTTATTTTTTTTAAAATACCTGCATTTTATTTACAGATGCTACCTTTCTTCGAGTAGACCTGCCTATTCATCACAGTTCCAGACAAATAACCACAGATCCAGATGCAGTACGGATATGCACAATTCATATATAAATTTGCTATAGATATATATCCAGCATGCAGACAGATTCGAGTTGCAGACATGATATGTACATATGAAACACATTGAAATGAATATATGTACAGACAGATCCAGTTCCAGACAGTTCATTTACTTAAACGAATGTAAGTTTCCTAACTCAAATCAATTCTATCTAAATTGTTACAAGTTAAATTTCCTATGAAGATTGAATGCTTAAATTTCCTATCAAGTTGGAGCATTCTCCCAAAATCCTTCCATATGGTCATAACGGATGACATGCACATCATCTATTTCTACATTAACACTCAAGTTTGGCATATTTGAAGAGAAACATGGTGTCTCGGGTATATCAAGTACTAATTCATCATTCTCATCAGAAGTATACATGGGTTTTCCTTGTAGAACCACTGACCATCCTTTGTTAGCGGGATCAGTGACATAAAACACTTGTTTTGCCTGAGATGCCATGATAAATGGTTCTTCGGTATAACGAGTATTTTCAAGGTTAACCAAGGTAAATCCAAGATCATCGGTGAAGATGCCAGTATTAAAATCAACCCACTTGCATTTAAAAATAGGTACTCTGAATATCGTGTAATCTATTACCCAAATCTCTTCAATTACACCAAAGTAGCCCATTGACGCCCTTATCGGATATTTATCCTTTGAACTCGAGAAATGCATTGATTCAGCCACCACCATGACTCCACTATTTTGCATTGTGCTTATTTCATCTTCTCCCTTTGTATAAAATGAATAGTTATTTATATCATACCCACCCCAACATATCACATCAAAGTTTGGCTCACATGCTAGCCACTTTAGTGTATCGAAGTCTGTATTGTCACCTTCAACTTGTTGTTTAAACCACTTCAAAAAGCTCTTTGTTCAGTGTTCAGGATGATCACTCTCTTAAGCTAAGGGGATGACTTCTTCACTCGTTATTCAATATGTACAAATGCGCTTGAAGTACTTCATCTCGACACATTGTCACAACTTTTGCACCTCGAGTTCCTCTACCAAGACCTATTCCATGGTAACGAGTCTTAGGTAACCCTATAGGTTCAACTTCTGATAAGTAGTTTGTGCAAAACTCAATAGCTTCCTCTGCAATATATCTTTGAACAATTGATGCTTCAGGACGATATTGGTTCTTCACATACCCTTTTAATATTTTCATGTATCGCTCAAAAGGGTACATCCATCGTAAGAAAACTGGACCACAGATTCTAACTTCCCTGGCTAGATGAACAATCAAGTGAACCATAATATCAAAAAATGATGGAGGAAAGTACATCTCAAATTGACATAATATTACTGCAGCCTCATTCTCTAACTGATCCAAAACATCCGGGTCCATAACTTTACTACATATGGCATTAAAAAAAGCATAATCGAGTTAAGGAATATCTAACATTGTTTGGTAAGATACCTCGAATAGCCACAGTAGAAGTTGTCGCATCAATACATGACAATCATGAGATTTTAACCCAAGCAATTTGAGATCTTTCATAGATACAAGTCTTTTCACATTGGAAGAGTAACCAAATGGAACCTTCACACCTCGTAAAAACTCACAAAAACTTTTTTTCTCTTTTTTAGACAAGTGTGTGACATGCCGGAGGCAAGTATGTTCGGTTACCATGAGGTTGAGGAGCTAATTGTTCTCTTATACCCATTTCAACCATGTCCAAACGAGCATTGACACCATCTTTTGTTTTTCCTTGAATGTTAAGGAGCGTTCCGATGATACTCGTCACACACATTTTTCTCTACATGCATGACATCTATACAATGCCTCACATCAAGAACCCTCCAATATGGAAGAACAAAAAGGATTGACATTTTCTTCCATATACCTGTGGCTTTCTTTTGCGTCTTTCCAAAATCACACGAAAGTGCACTTACTCGTTGATATACTTCTTCCCCACTTAAAGGTGTTGGGGCTGCATCATTTTCTTGACACCCGTTAAATGATTTTTTTAATTTACGATATGAATGGTTTGAAGGAAGAAATCTTCGGTGTCCAAGGTACACTCGTTTTCCTTCCATGTTGTAGTTGATAGTGACATGTGTCTTCTTCACATATCGGGCAAGCTTTATGTCCCTTTGTGCTGTAGCCACTCAAATTACCATATGCTCGGAAAGTCATTAATTGTACAAAATAACATTGCACGCAACTTGAATAAGTCACCTGTGTACCCATCAAACACATCAACACCTTCCTCCCACAACATCTTCAACTCTTCAACCAATGGGCTTAAAAAACATCAATGTCATT